ATTTAGGTTTTATTTACTTACAAGTTCTGTATTGCATAACATACAGTGATGATCGATTTTAAGCTGTGTATCTATGGGCCAATGTCGCCTGGATGTTAAAGATAAAAAAAAAACTTAATTAAAAGATCCAAGACTTTAAGATCAAAGATCCAACATTCATGTCTCTGGGCCGCCCCAGACTTCAGTGTTTTCATAATTGTAACTATGTAAGTACATGCTACAGGACCTAGCTAACAAAAGTTGCAGCGGCTCCGAAGGATGAGGCAGACATGTCCGTTAAAAAAATTACCAGTCAAAATAAAAAAAAAAATGTCTAAAAGACTAAAAGGTTGAAAAATAAAAGAAAGCTTTTGACTCTAGCTGAAATAGTCTTATCGTCTTATATTTCCTTATTATGCATAAGTACGGCAATTCTTCAAACTTCCTTCCTTCGGTTATCAAAATAGTAAGATTAAAATAATAATAAACACAGTTATTGTGTTATCAATATGACCTTTGATTAGAGAGGTCAAGGCGTTAGTGATTGTATTTTAATTAAATAACTAGTTCTAAACGCCTGGTAGCCAGGAGGTTGAAGGTTCTCTACTTCTCAAAGACGGATTCAAAAAATGGCATGTACCAATGTGACTTTTTTCAATTAATAAAATCAATAATCAACATCGCGTTTATTTCTTTCTACATAATAATGTACATAAACATACCTGATAAAGTTTATTTATTTATTTAAATAAAGGTCTGCAATAATTAATAAATTAGTCATTCACAAAAATAGTAGAAATACAATATAAAAACTTCTAAAACAATAAATACACTAATCATTCGCAAAAAAAAAATGAAAATAAAAATTGAAAATATACAATAGGTATAAAAACCATGTGCTTTCTCAATTACAGGACACATATACTTAATTTAAAATTATAATAATAAACATTGAAATACATAAACTCAGATATAATAAACAAAATTATACATAGTATCAAAATTAATTACGTAATCTAAAGTAAAGAAACATGGCACAATAAGATTAATAACAATGAAAGTTTATATAAATAAATAAAATTAATATTTAAATAAAAAACATAAAATATAAAAATATTTCACAATAATATAATAAAAAACCGACAAAAAGAAATACTTAAACATTCAACAAAAAGAGACATCAGGTTCCACCGAGATTTGAACTCGGATCGCTGGATTCAAAGTCCAGAGTGCTAACCATTACACCATGGAACCGCTTGAAGTTGGAGCGCGAAATAGGTGATCCCTTTCACTAGACGCAATGGTAGTGATGTGTTATATTTCTATCGAGTGTTGATTCATGCCGTAATGAAATTTAAACCTACGTCTTAAAGTTCATATTTGTGTAAACGTGAGCTTCGAACAAACATATTGTCAATATTTCATTTTCATATTAAGATTAATTTCTAAATAAAATAGATTATTTTAATTTTCAGTCATATTTTAATTTAAATTGAGGATACATTGAATTCGTCACTGGGACGAAGCATTTTTTACTTTTTTTTCAATATAAGCTTATATGTAAGTGTGTAGCTTTCTATTAAAACTAATAATTAATTTATAAATAAAACTATATTTATTGAATAATTTTGTTTTATTTCATAATTTTTTATTGAAAAAAAAAAACAATATTTACCTTTTATTTCAAACAATAATAATAATGAATAAAATCCACCAGGGCCGTACTCGGACGCGCAAATCTTCTTCAATCTCGCGGGGCGCACAATCATCGGCCTGGTCATCAATTATTCACAATACTGATTGCGTCCGAGACGCATGTGGATACCAATGAATTATATATGATGCTGACCCGACGGGGACCGGATTTGGAATGAATTTTTTATGAAAAATAATTGTAAAGAAAATAAATCGAGTGAAAAACTAGTTTTTGTCTAAAACTGTAAAAACTTTAATTCAAAAACTAGTGAAAGAAAATTAATTGTTTTATTTTTTTATATGTTGCATTAAATGTTTAAGTCGTGCAGATAATCAAATGCTGATCAACAAATTTTTAAACAATAAAATTCTAATTAATAATTTACACCTAAATTACTTCGAATTATCGACTGTAATTAAGGAAAAAAAAAATTAATATTTAATTGATTTGAAAAGCGTTGTTTTTAAAATGAGATTATTTCGACCGCCTTGAATCAAATTTATAATAGCTTTATAAAAAATACAATAATATCAGGTTCCACCGAGATTTGAACTCGGATCGCTGGATTCAAAGTCCAGAGTGCTAACCATTACACCATGGAACCGTGTGATTACAATTATAAAACTAGACTGCGTATACGAAGAAAAAAAGTACTAATTGTTGTTTAAACAAGTGGCAATAGGTAAATGAATAGAATAGTTTATTACTATTACTCGTACTAAAGGTATACTTACATACAACGTGCTCGTAAAAGTACTTTGGTATAGTATGATTTTCTGCCTAGAAGATTAGTTTAGATTTCAGATTTTACTAAGCAAAGTGTCCAAACACAAAGATAACATTTATTTAGGTACTAAATTGATCGATTTTCTTAATTTTATAGTCTTTGGTTCTTGTTGTCGTATCGACTTTTATCGTTCTTCTCCATAGGAATCTACCTACACTTTGGAACGAGCAATTGACTTCACAAGAGGACCGACTAACACACTGACACTGTTTATATTTATATTACATTTGGTTCGACGTCTAAGAATCGACGTCTTTTGATCGGTATTGTTCGCCAAACAACTCAGCAACATCCGTAAGCTGAACTGGTTGTAAACTGACACTTTTGAGACTCTTCAGAGCGGGTCACTTTGGTTGGTTCTCGCATCAAAATAGCACTACAGGATGATCTTGCACGGTACTGACACATTCTATTTTTTTTTACATTGTCTGGACTTTAAAGAAGACTCACCTTTAGCCTTTTTTTGTTTGTTTCAGCATTTCTTCTCAGAGTCGTCAAATATGAAAATGCCTAGTTCATGTAGTTTTTTATATATACATAATTTTGATGTGTAAAAGTGCTCTTTTATGGCTTTCTTGCAAGAATAAGTTCATTGTGTCATTGACTTTTCACTTTTTTGCTTAAAATTGCAAGTTGATGTGAATTTTGATTTCAGTATTCAATAATCGCAGTTCAAATTTCGGCCCTGCACAGAACAACGGTCCGGCTCAGAGTTCGTCCCTCAGTGCGTGCTAACAGGCGTTTAGCGTTCGTCTGTACCCACGGGACCGTCTCCTTCCCGCTTTACTACAAATCTAACTAGGTTTTTTGTGTAACGTAATCAAACACAGAATGGAGTTACGGGTTTTGTTCTGGCTTTGTGAATACTCACATTGGTGTAGGTATTGTTCTTTTTGTGTAGGTATATTTTTTGTGAGCCTGTGTTTGCTTGAGCTGTAATATGGGGCTGTGAATGATGATTAGCTGCTTAAATTTGCGCCAGTTTTAAAATCATCCTAGGATTCTGCGGATATTTAAGCATATAGTATAGAATAGAATTCATTTATTTGCAGGAAGCATGGTACAGAAAGATCTTAGAGCTAAACAGTAGTACGTGATCTAGAGTTAACAAAATTTTTTCCTAAGTCTACACAATTATATTCACGATATTTTTGAATGCGGCTGTATAAAAGAAACCATCACTAACCAAGCTCTAACTACCTACAACTTACAAGTTGATCAACCTACTTAGGTATTAAATTATTTCCAAACTAGCTTTTGCCCGCGACTTCGTTCGCGTGGACTTCAGGCTCGTCCCGTCTAGTCTAGTAATAAGTAAAAAATACAATAATACAATAACTCCAGAGCCCTAATCATAGGTCTATAGGTAGCTACTGCAGTAGGTATGCTCCTATAAACTACATTTAACGATCTTTTTCATTCAGCATAAACATGCAGATTCTTCGCATTGGAATCGTAAGCGCAAAAAATGTGTTTTTTTACGACCTCACATTAGAAACCTCAAAAATTGTAGCCTATGTGTTATTCTAATGTATAAGCTATATTGTGGCAATTGAAAATGTGAAGTTTCATTCAAATCCATTCAGTAGTTTTTACGTGAAAGAGTAACAAACATCCATACATCCAAACTTACAAACTTTCGCCTTTATAATAGTAGTAGGATATCAACGTTTGTATCGAAACCTTAAACTCTCAAGAGGAAGAACCAACAAGGACAGGACAGCATTCAACCAAATGTCATAACCTAAAAATAAAAGTACAACAAAGTTAATAAGTATTAAAAAACCCTCGATACATCAGCCATTAGGTTAATGATCAATCGATCATGGCGTCGCAAACATTGACGGTTATAGACAAACTCACTGTTATACGGAATCGGGTGCCAGTTAATTGGATTAATTTAGGGTTCTGCGTTGAAATTGGAGTGTAAGAATAACATTGTGGAAAAATGGGGCTGGTTAAGCTCGAGAGATTACCAAATATTTTTTTTCTGACACAAATACATGAGTTTGTTTTGGCAAAGAAACATTGAGTGTGTGATAGGTCGGTAAACGAGCAGACTGATTACCTAACGATAAGCAATCAGCGCCAACCATGGACACCCGCACCAGAGAAGTAACGAGTGCGTTGACTTTTATTGGTTTCGGATTTAAGGATTGGGGAGGTACGGGTGAAGGAAAAGGATTGGGCCTTCGGAAACCTCACTTATTCGACGAAACAAGACGCTGTGGTTATTTCACGCTGCTTTTCTCTAAGGTAGTAGTATAACTCCGGCTGAGACGACGCATTCGCGCAGAAACTTGGCTGTCCTACACTTAAAAGTATATGGTGACTAAACTGGAAAACAACTGTTGAACCTATGTTTATTTGTAATTAGCTTACTGCACAAAGCAAAAAAAAAAATAGCATCCAAGTCTTTGGAAGTATGTATGTCTGTATTTTCCACAGTAGGTACTTAAGCTTCACATCAAACCAGAAAAACCAGTCTATTGTGGTTTAGTTTTGTGTAATCTATTTGAACATTTAACGGACAGTTACTTGCTATTAGGTTATCATGGAATTATTATTATGAAGCCACAATCAGATACCTAATTTTACTCATAGTGAATGAATAACCTTCTTGGCTAGAAGTTTTTCTTGCCTTAATATTTTGAAAGTGTGGGTGAGCCATGCTTCGGCGTGAATTGGTCGGCTCGAGCAGAGACATCCTGGCCATGATTCCATGGCCTTACACAAAACCAGCATGAAACAGCACAGCGTTTTCGCCATGGACATGTGACATGGTTACCGGAGATCCAATCCTTCCCCTCCCCCAATCCCTTCTTAATTCCAATTCACTCGCAACTTCTCCGTTGTTACGTGTGTCCATCGGCGGTGCTCATTGCTTTCCATCAGGTAAGCCGTCGGATCGTTTGCCGTTCTGTCTCATAAAAAAATTCAAGTCCTCGTCTCTTTAATTTATTAATTTATTATAAGAAGAATTATAATTAATTCTCACTTAAAATGCTTTCATAAGTACCTTCAATGTAACATTAGAAGCCTCTCTATTGTAAAAGCCTATCCCCTCGCGTCAAAATAACACCGGAATAGAATTAAGATCAACGTCTCAGGTTATATTGAAGTACATAATTATTTATATAAGCTTTCATTTTAGAACAAATTGATTTTTACGTCATACCTTGTCAGACAAAGTTCCATTTTTAAAGATTACGCCTACCTTTTTTCTCTTGTGTATTTTGAAATTTTGATGATCAAACATGTCTCTTAGTAAAGTACTTGTAGTAGACATCATGTATTTTTGATATAAATAATTTTACAAGTTGTTTATATTTTCCACTTTGTTTATGTTGTTACTTTTCCAGCCCAGGGAAGATACCTTTTGAGTATAGGGTTATCATCAAATGACATCTCCCGGGTGAGGAGAGATGGAGTTATATTTTTTTTTATCGTGAAGTCAAGGAATCCAGCTATATAGATATAAACTAAATAATATGTGTGTTCGCTTGTTTTGTCTCGACGAAGGCACTCCCGTTTTGTCAGTTTGTTTATTGATTTATAGAAATAATATGTAGTTTCATTTAATTTTCAACTGATAAATATTTATATGTCTTATGTATATATACATATACTTTTGACCAATACTTTTTATTAATTATTACCCTTAAAATGAGGTTAAAATGTTATAATAATAATATGCGCACACTGTCTAGTCCTTCAGTCAATAAGAAATGTTTTTCGTTATCCTAAAATTTCTAAACTATGACAAAGAATTTAAAGTTTTAGTTACAATAGAAAAGGGTACAAAATAATACGAAATATTCATACATCATCATATTTATTAAAGTGACAGTTACTTATACTTAATAAAAATAACTGGTAAATTACGATCATAGGATTGCACGTGATTCTTTGGGATCGTTAACGTAACGTAACTAGTTCAAAATGTTCTATACAATATTTACAATGAGTTTATTACTTACATTTAACAAAATACAATTTTTAAATTTCGAAATTTCGACGAGAAGTTTTTTTTTTGATACAATTTTTTAAATAATTTATTTACAGTCCATAGCTGCATCATAAATGCTTTATAGAAATGTAGATGGTGAATAAGAAAACTGTTCACATAAAATTTGAAAATGGAATGATTAACTGTCTTTTTTTTTCTATTTGAAATATCTGGAATGCAGATGAATGGAATCAAACTTATTTTTGGATTTGGAATATGTTTTGTTCTGAACAAAAACACAGCAAAAGTATAACTATCAAAACAGTGAATTAAATCTAAGTGCTTTTACAAAAGATTACAGCCATAAAAATAGACAACATTTTTATTTGTACATTTTAAACTAATTCTTAACTATAATCAGCTAAATATTTTACATAATTCGATTTCATTTAGATGTAATAATATAATAAATGAATTTAATATAATATAATAATATTGATATGCGAGTATTTTTCTATTTTAATTCTATTCTAAAGATTTATTTCGACTATTTTAATATGACACATAATAATTATTTCATACGTATTATTATTAACATTGGGTAACGTGCTTTGGTATAATGTTTGATTATTATATCTATTGCAGTTGCCATAATATTTCATACAATTATTCCGATTTAAGATTGGACTATTACAACATATAGAGATGCTGAAATGGTGGTTACGTTTATATGTGACTAATTACTATTTTCATTAAACAATAACACGGAATGATGGCAATAATAACAACTAAAGTCCTTTCTTAAAATTAAGTTGTTCATGTCTTTATAATAATTATTAAAAAACAAAACATAATTTTGGAATGATTCCATCAGTCCATTATTAATTAAATAATTTTTTGACTTTACAATTATTAAGTTGTCAAATGTTTTATTTATAATTATTTAAATATTAGGTAATGTGCTCTTTGGATTTTGCTCGTAAAAATAAAATGCTTGTGTTGCAATTCTTTTATTCATATTGAGTATTTTTTTTGAAATGTTTCATGCATAATTCTTCTTTGCATTATAATTATTATATAAAATTGATTATATTTTATATTAATGCAACACAAACAATATTTACATTTAAACACTTTATTCTGTAGTTTACTTTGAGATCAAAAAACTCACAATTACAAAGCGTTTTAATTTTTTTTATTATAACTACATACAAGAGCTGCGGTAACAATAAAATCTATTTATTTGTATACTATGTGTTCGTTTCTTATTAAATTATTTACACTGCTTTGTAAAGCGATGTGGAATGGATTATTTCAAATTTTAATATTCAACCTCTTTGTTGTGTGAAGAAAGAAAGACATTTTCCATTACATTGAAAAAACTAAAAGACAAATCATGTTTAAAATAAAAATGCTATTCAGAATGGCTTGTGAGCTTGTCATTAAGTATTAAGAAAGAAAAAAAAAAACTAAAAAACAATAACAAAAAAACATGCTAAATGTTCACGTTTTGTAAAAATATAAACCGAACCTTTTTTCAATTTGGAATTATTTAATATATTTCGACTTTAAATTAATCTGAGTACGGCCCTGTAGAAATAACCTACCAGTTCTCACACGAAGCAATTCCGTGAGATATTTAGTCGTTACGTAACGATATGCTTACGACACGACAACGACATCGTGTGCGAATTTAAATCTGATATATAAAAAATTCTTTGAATAGTCACTGTTGTAAATTATCACTGCCACATCGCTCTAACATTTTCTACTCCATCTGCAAGCCTTAACGCCAGCCAGTTGGCGCGAAGGCGGTCGAGGTTCAGGATGGTAATGGCTGCAAAGGGGGCACTGCGGTGCTCATGTGTGCTCTGAAGTCAGGATGCTGGCGCAAGTCTGGGTGGGGCGGACGGAGATCTGTTGGAGAAATTGGCTTGAATAAGTTATTGTATAACAACTCTTTGTGTGATCCACAAATTGTTTTTCCGGGTCTGGGTGTCATGTGCATGTGAAAATGCATGTTTGTCAACGCACCTTCGACACAGGAGAAAATCCTAGTGTGGAGCAACGTTGTTTCAAAAGGACAAATAATATATTTAAAATCAAATCTTACCTATTCGATGGTCAGGCACAGCATGCATGTCTGTAGGATGCATGCCATGCACGTCAGTATGAGGCTGCATATGCGGCGGCTGGGGGGGTCTCAAGTCAGCGTGCTGGGTCTCCTTGTGTCTCCTCAAATCCACCTTTCTTTGGAATGCCCTTCCACACAGCTCACAAGCAAATGGTTTAAAACCAGTGTGTTTGCGAGAATGGGTGATCAAATTGGAACTCTGACTGAAGGCCTTGCCGCAAACTTGGCATTTGTGGGGTTTCTCACCTGTTGACAAAAATGATGAAGATTTTAGAATTGGTTCCAAGAACATGTGGTCGAAGGTGGTCCATCATTGCTGATTTGCTGCCACCCTTGTTTAATTATATATGGTAGGTAGGTACTACTTCTAAGGTTTTCGTAACTAAGATTTTTTCAACATAGTTTACGTTACCTATTTCTACGTTTAATTTAACCTAAGTAAACGATTTGCTCTATTCTATGATTATTTAGACATCACTGACATACGGTGAAGGTAAATATCGTGAGGAAACCTGGACTTATAATTTCTAATTATAAGTTTAAAATCGCCAACCCGCATTGAGCCAGCGTGGTGATTAATGCTCTAACCTTCTCCTTATGAGAAGAGGCCTTTGCTCAGCAGTGGGCACTTATAGGCTGTTGATGATGATGATGAAACGATTTGCTCAATACCGCAAATTCGTAAGTTCACTCGTCTTTTGATATAGAATACAAGGCTTATATTGAAAAGTAAAGCCATTCATTGACTCAAGGCAGATAGACAGAGAGGCAGAGAGTCAAAATTCTACTTGATAAATATCCATAAAGAAGTCCTTAATTCATAATAACGGAATACCAAGATAGGTCCCAATTTTTTAACAGACCTAATCCATGTAAATATTAACTACTAAACTTACTACATTTATAAACGTATCAAAATTTGCGTTAACATTACAAAAAATATATCTGATCCGTGTAATCGAGGAGTATTGCCGATGGTAATCCGCACCACATCCCTGCTATCGATCCGCTGTGACGCGCGACTCTGCAATACCGGTAGGGTTGGCGACTCGGCTATAGCAACAACGATTCACTGAGTTTTTGTTTACTACGTCCTTCGTCCACTGGTAGAGTGAAAACATTCTAATCGTTATTGTTTATAGTTTTCTAAAGCGATGGAAACATATGATGATATTCTTTGTTAGTTTTCTCTAATTTTACCAAGATGTGCGATCTTGGTAACTTCAGTGCTATATTTAAAATTTGAAGTTGTTTTACGCTTATCCCTGATTAAAGTGTGCAATATTTTAGTAAATACCTATGTATCTATAAGGGACCTACTCTGATAACCCTTTTCTAAACATAAGTTAAAAAAACCTCACAGGACGTATTACAAGTGAATAAAAACGCTCGCAGATTATTTCTCTTAACTTAACCGTTTCACTGACAACCCTAACCATACCGTGTTAATAAACCTTTGCGGAATCTGTTCGCAGTTTTCTCTCTCCGTATTACATATACGATTTATAGAGAGGCAACCCTATACGTATATGTATGTAGGGTTGGCCCTATTTATACAGACAGAGGCTACGGTTATACGTAAAAGAGAAAATCCGTGGAATCTCGACATTCTGTTTTTATTGAGAAGATAGTGTAATATGATACATTACTATGTATATACTAGTTATTGTTGTAACATGCTTTCTCTTTCTTACTTATGTAGGTGTAGTGGGAGGAAAGGAGAAGCGTGTAGATTTGAGTTGGTCTAGAAAAAAGATTTGAAATGGAATTCGTTAGTTCTGGTGATTTTATGGATCTTTTTAGGCTGGCGTGTAGTTCGTAGGTGTTTGTTAAAATTGTAACTTTATTTGTGATTGGATTTTGCGTTTATTTTCTCGGTTAAACGTAGTATTTTATCTTTAACGGATAGATCTTTTGGACAACCGAAATGGATGATTCTCTTTTCTAAATTGTTTAGAATATATCCCAGTGGTCGGCAAGTAACTTGTACGCGAAATAATATTACTAGTTAGCGTCGTAAACTACTTAATTGATTTCGAGAAAATATCTCTTTTTCGTAATTGTGTTTCTACGAGATTGTTTTACTGATGATATGGCTAGGTATACATAGCTATGTATTTTATATATATTCTCATATCATAAAAATATCGTACCTATAAGCTATAGGTACGTCCAACGTCGGCGTAATCTGTGCGCCGTCCGTTCCTTATTACGCATTCTTGTCATATACCATAGTTCACTATTAAACTTTCTTTTCTCTTAAGTCTTTTTATTTATAAGAACCATTGATATTGTGTTGTTTTTGAGGAAATACGTATATAGTTTAAGTTTTATTTTTATATAGGTAAGTAGTAAGTAGGTAAACAGTGCCCAAAATTAGGATTTTCTCCTAAGAATGTCGCTTATTTTCATTACATACGTAGGAACACGTTGCGCCATTTGTAACCAGACAAAAAAATTATTTGTGTACTTATCATTCAAAGTATTAATTTGTACAGTTCTTAATAGAGTTGTGATTGTGTTTTCTTAAATTCATTCAATCTTTATTTATAAAGTCTAAATAAAGGTGGACATTTCGATATGTATAACTGTGCCTGAGACTTTGAAGATTACAAAGTAATTTTCCTTCTAATGATGACTGATTTTCTTATAAAACTAAACCAATATCTACTTCTGATGTAGGTATTAAAACACTATCACATTATCCCGATTCCTACGAGCGAGGAATTTAATATCGCTTTTGTTGATCTCAGCTTTTGTTTGTAGAAATACTCTCCAAGGGATTGTTAGGTATTATGTATAGATGTAGGTAATATAGTATATTGAAAATAGTCAGAGGTTTTCAGCGAAATGAGCACGTTACTTACGTTCTGATTTTTTTGCATATACCTACACATAAATAGATTGACAGTTCGCCTCCACGTTTTTTGACAGTACGTCAAAACAATTGCAATGACGACATCTTAGGAGTTTAATTTTAGTAGAACTTGATGCATATGTGTACCTATGTTTATTCTATAGATAAGTATGTAAGTATAAAAATAAAGACGCATTCTCAGAAACTACTGAGCAAATAATGGATCTATTTAATTCACTTTAAGATGATTCAACATGGCGGAGTGTTTTTGCAAGTATCAACATTCTGCAGCTCACAAAGGCGTATTATTTTCAAAGAATCTAATTGGTAGGTACTTATATAAAGTCTGAATCATAAGTGGGAGTGTGAATAAACATTTATTCGCACAAGACTGTACAAATACGTATATAAGGCGCAATAAACTGTACCACGTGACAATCTATGTGCACAACAGGAAAATGTAACCACACCTTTATTACTAGCAAATCACGGCACAGCATTGATACCTAACTACTACCGAAAAAGGGCCAGTCCGTCAATCAAGGGTGCTACGGAGAGGCGACTTCATTAGTGCGAGCGGGAGGCCTGGTCGTCTCACTCCGGCAGCTATGTCGCGACGGTAGAGCAATTTATAACCGTCGTGCCATTGGGCCGTGATTGCGGCGGCTCCACCCCGCGTCGCGTAGCAACGGGAGGGGGCCCCCCACTCCTCAATTCCCCCCCACCGACCCTTTCCATCGCAATTTTCCTTTGAATTGGAAATCAGAGTAGCGGGGCCACCTCGTTAGTCTCTCCATCTTCGCGATACTCTACAGATTTTTACTGTGGAAGATGTTTCCTTTGTGGAGTTAGCAAATTGTGATGTTTTGGTATTCAGCCCCTTTTCAACTACCTATACGCAGCGTGAATAAATTTGTGGGGGCATAAATTGTAGGGCATTAAGTTCGGAGTTGAACTCTTGATTGTGTGATGTTGTCGTAATCGAGTTCGGTTGGTACCTCGTGTTTAAAGTACCTACTTACATTATTGCAAGTACAGTATCCCAAAAACTTCTTTACATACCTGTGAAAATGTTTTTGGGATACTGTACTGTCGATAACATGCAATTTTAAAGGTCTAAATTTCAAACATTTAAAAATGGAAGCCGTTCCAACCTCAAACTCAACCGACTTCTTTAAAAACAGGAATAGAACACATTTAAAACCTCATTACAATTTCCTATTAAAAAGTTCTTTGCATGTTCCACGAACTTATTACGAGTCATAAGTTCTTAACACGTAAGTTCTCCCGGAGTGCGTAAAATCTTAGGGAGTAAGGGCGTAATTACACGCATTATGGCGGTAAGGGCTCGTCGCAAGCCTTAATTGTTCCCGAACGTCTCGAGGGGAGAATGAATGAATGAATGAATTCAAGATCTGTGAATTATTGATTTTATGTTGAAGTTTAGATTGATTGGTGTTGAAAGGTTTTTGTCATAACGGTGTTGGCAGAGGTGTAGGTGATTTTAACAAGATATTTTTTGTATAAGAAGAAAGCATTTTTTTATATAGGTGAGACTATTTTATTCATATACTTAGATAAATAGACTAGCTAAACGAAAATGTACCTTATGTAATTGATTTCAAAACTTTGAGTTCTATTAGCTATTATGAAGGTTGGTAATCTTTGTAAACGCTGGTCGGGTTGCCAAATTTTTTTCACTGATAGATACCCACAATGTTTCTAAGAGCTATAGGGTATAAAACATCACGGTACGATTAACTAGAGCCGAGCAGCGGGTGAAACCGCGCGATAGTAGCTAGGAAGCTATAAAAATATTTCAATGTTAGGAGCGTCAAACATCAGTCCTGGAGGCTTCATATAAAAGACGACTTGGAACTAAAAAAATCATTTGGTACATCATAAAAACTTTCATTTAAACTTTTTATAGAACATTTTACTTTTGTAAGGCTCTCAGAGGTTATGGATGATAAACTAGTAATAGTAGACGTTACGATCTAAGACGATGTTCACAGATTTTTACAGCAGTCGTTATTTTTTTGATTGTAGCGTGTATTTTCGCGTGGCTTTTGGTTTTTGACGTCATCAAAATGTAGTATGAAAGGATCGTGTTGGTTTTTAATAATTAAATCGATGACAAATGAGTAAAATAAATAATTATTAAAAATAATATTAGAAAGTTGCTTCTTCAGTTCCAATTTTAAAAATCAAATTCAAATAATTTTATTTATAATTTTACGATTTAAAAATCGAACACCACATATCACAGTGAGCAAAATATAAAAAAATACGTGGGTGGACAAAAATTTAAAACAGAAAACTTCAATAAATTTAGCCCTCGACTGCCAAGCTCCTTTCAAATCACGTTCAGTGTGATCAATAAAAATAAAATATATAAATAATTGAGTACTAAAAACGTATGAGCTTGCAATAGACGCGTTAAGTATTAAGTTCCCAGGTTGTGATTGAACGCAACCCGGGTAGCGATAACCGTAAATCCCGGGTATACGTATCTTGAACCGGGATACAGGGATGTAGTTGAAATCCCAAAAAAAGACATGAATGAAAACTTATCCAAAAAAAATAGATATGTTGTTTAATTTTAAAAAGAGTTTTGTTAGGAATTACAATTTTGGAATTAAAAACGCTTACTTTAGTACTTAGTATTAAAAAGAAAATTCAGTATTATTTTAAACGATAATTATACTACTAAACAAAAAACAAGCAAAATCCCCTAAAAAATAAAACACCTCACATTTCCCCTGACGTAACTAAATCACACGCACGCTCCACACCATAATTAAATAAAACCAATAGCAAAAAAGACAGCAGATCACAGAAAATCACAAGGCCATAATCGTATAACGGGATTCGCAGTAAAACAGGACAATACAATTAAAATGATGGCGAATGCGTCCCTGGCAAGGCTCATCTGCACAGTATCGCCTGGATTTTTATGGGGACGTACTTCAGTTGCTCGTGAATTAAATATACGATGGTACAAACTTAAAGTGCTTCCTTGAGTGAGATTTTACGAAATATTGCGCGGTGGTGGTGGTAGTATGGTGGTGTGGATGAATTTTTGGTTTACGGATTCTTAGGGGCAGACAGTGAATGAAAAAAATTTTGGGGACTGTTATGAAAATTCAATGTTAAAACCATAATTATATTTAAATAGTAGCTATTGTCTAACATGTTTTATCTTCTTGTATATAAAAACTAGCGATCGCTCCGCCCGCGTGGATATCGATTTGACATTTTTTCAAGTTTTTTTTTTTATTTTCTCAACGTACAAACATCTCTGGACTTCCACGAATAATTCAGGACCAAAATTAGCCAAATCAGTAAAGGAATTGTTAAGTTATAACATACGCTGAATTAATTGATAAATTGCTGTTCGTTATTGTCTCGCGTTCCAAATTTGACTTTAATATTATTCGGTCAAAACATTCATTGTGTAATGATAAACTCTTGCTAAGTAGCAGTTTCCTTTGAAAAATCACTAGACTGAACACTTAAGTCTTATGAACCAACTTAATTCCAAAACCAAGAGAGCCCCCCGAAACGGAGCACACGCCAAGAAAACCGTAACAGTATCTTAAGCGACTACTTGTTCTATCTTAATAATTCAACGACTTATAAAAAACGGAGCAAATTGAGGGAGGGGAGGGGGGGGAGCTCGTGAATTCACCTTGCATTTACATTCTCATTGATTATTCACCACGCCTTGCTGTGGAGACACGCGGCACACAGTGTCGATGGACAAATAAATTATGTTCAGCACAGTGTTCAATATTGAGGTAGTTGGAAAACGTCAATCGATGAAACGAAATCATAGAACGTACTGATCAATTCAATTTGGATAGGTAAATAATAATATACATTTGCAAAGTCTCCTGTATTAAAATATCATCCCCTAGATCCTAACACAGTCACAGCTTTGAATAGGAACACCCGATGCTGATGTGCGTCAAATCGCCAACGACAAAATTTGTCCTATTTTTCTCTCTTTTAACAACAAAGGAAACCAGTTAATGACTTATTAATAATGACATGAAACATGAAAGAAGGTTTCCCGTGCTCAAAATATTATTATTTCTCTGAATCAAATCTACTTGAAACATCACAAGAAACTTGACCAAGACTAAACACGGTGTTTTAGTTGGAAAACGCAGCGAAGTCGGTTTGTGTTACCCGAGAAACACAAGCTGCACTTACTGAAACCAGGTGCAGGATTAAAAGTACAGGCTTTAAGGAAACTAGCCAAGAGCGAGAGTACTCTGACACGGTGATAAATTCCGAGTCTATGCACATTGTGTCACGAGCTAAAGTGAGGACTGGTGTTAAAGGCGATAGAACTGAAATTGAGTCTTGATGTGAACTAATTGTACTCCAGTATTATTAGATAATTCGAATGATTCAACTACTCACGAATCATACTAAAAGTTAAAATACACAGAAAGTATTCATAATACATGTTTGCTTTTAAAGACATGCCGTTTTTAGTATAACTACTAACTATGTATAATTGAGGATTTTATGATCATAGATGTTCCTATGCTATATCACAGTCTACGATGTTCCAAAATCAACCAAATCTTTAAGAAATTAAACTTTAATGCCAGAACAAAGAACAGACAGCGAATGTAATAAAAGATAAGCTAGACAATATCAAAAATAAAAAAGTAAATTCAGTTTTAATCCAGACTCTAGTATCTAAGAAAGGTCCTTTCTAAAACGAAGGCACGATTCACAACAACAATCACATAGCAACGTGACTTCAAAAAATACTGTTGGAACATTCAGTTCTTGCTGATACAAGCTTTCCTATATACGTGTATATAACGTTATATCTCAACAAATCCACACGGGTTGAGATGCCGGCGTGATTACCGAGGTCGGTAGTGAAGTGCGGATTTTCTCTGGGAGAATCCCGGTTTACGACCGAACCTCCCTACACCCTCCGAGGAGGAATGACCGTATACGTATATGCTAGACATTTTAACGGACGGAATTGATGGAGATAATGTTTTTATCGGTCTTTATTTTGTTAAAGATGGATAGAGTTTTCTGATTTTGTTTTTTACGTATATGTTTATAGGGAATATTCAAACTAAAACGAAAGTGTGTTCGAAATGTTAAAATCATTCGGTAAATAACTATTATTTTAGTAAATCTAAATCTATCAAGCATACTTCAAAACCTATTCTAAAATAACAACAAGAGCTCATCGAACTAAAATTTAGCAACCCACGCAGAAAATCCATCCCAATGCCAATCTCCAGAATTTTGATTGAGCAAACAAACCTCTAGCCTGCAAAAACATTGTAACAACGATTCAATCTCTCTACATTCTATAAAAACACTAGATTCTCGGCTCTAATGGAAAATACGGCACAATCCTGCCTCAAGATCTTCGCAAACAGTCGCCATATTTGTTCGAAAAACAAAACTAAATTCTCAACGGTTTTCGTTAAGGAAAACTGCTTTGTAATTGTGGGATAATAAATTGAGAGACGAAAAAATGTTGTTTCAATGCTGAGGGAAAAGAAAAAATCAAATTGTTGCCATGGGCTGGTGAAATGGTTTCATTTGTGTTAATATTTTTATTCGACAAATATGGATTATGTGAAATGGGATAGATGATGGTTATCCATTGACATGATATTGATTATGGCTTGATTATGAATAAATTATAAATTGTCGTGGTGGCCTGGAGGTTAAGGAGCCCGCTTCTCATGAATGAGGGTGTGGGTTCGAAACCTGGCAAGTACCAATGTGACTTTTTCCGAGTTATATGTACTTTCTATGATTATTTAGACACCACTGACATACGGTGAAGGTAAACATCGTGAGGAAACCTGGACTTATAATTTCTAATTGTAAGTTTGAAATCGCCAACCCGCATTGAGCAAGCGTGGTGATTAATGCTCAAACCTTCTCCTTGTGAGAAGAGGCCTTTGCTCAGCAGTGGGCACTTATAGGCTGATGATGATGATGATGATAAATTGTATGACAGGTAACATGACTCAAAACTCCATAAAGATATTTCTACACTATAAAAAATCTTCTAAACAATTCAAGACTCTATAAAACACAACATTAGAGTTCCTTTTATCTATACGAACACAACTTAAAGTTGGGTCACATAACGGGCTGAGCTCTTCACGTAAGAGACATTTACGATTTGCCTCTTACTCGAAATATATGTGTTGTGTAAATGCCACTTAGAAGAAAGATTTATTGTAGTGGCTACCGAGGCTCTTTGCCTACATGAACAAGTTTTTTACGCTTAAAACGTGGCCAGTTTTTATATGCAATATTTTTTTTGATATAGGTATGTGTGTCTAAGAAATGGTAAAATTTTACGGAAATATAAATAAAATTTGAGTTGTTTTTTACTGCTAAGGTGAAAAATAATGATTCTAAATCAGGTATATGACGTTCATACAGTATGTTGGCATTATAAAACTATAGGTGGGTTATTAATATAGTTATGTAGAAGACACGGAAAAAATCCCAAAAAAGCCGAAATCAAGTGGAACTTTCCCTGTCCTGGTCTAAACTTCCGCACGTAATCCACATCTCGAAAGACAAATGATCCGTTTTAATGACCTGCAATAAAATAAGATACGCCAACATAATTGACATGCCACGGTGAAAATCATCGTGACCCCTTAGAAAAACTCATAAGGTCCTCCGCTGACAGTTGACAAATTCGTTAATTCCACCCCTCGACCCTTGAAGGGTGGGGCGCACATGGGAAAATATACAATGTTTTTGTCAAGGAAATTGTCTGTTTTGTACCACTGTGCAGTAATCTTGTAACGGTTTTGTAAGGTCGACTGTGCACGTAAGTAGGTATATAAAAAAAAGTATTTAGTATTTTGGTTTTTTGGATTGTTTTTTATAAAAGTTTGAGAGAGCCATGCTTGGGTCCGGCTCAACCGGAGTGATACCAACACACAGCCAGACCCAATCCTGCCCCCCCCTCCCAAACCTGAGTCCTCAAATCCACTTTCCTTAAATACCTAATAACTCACAAAATGTCGGTAACGCTCTTGTTTTAACACCTTTGGTATTAAAAGTGTTCATGGGCGGCGCTGATTGCTTACCATCAGGTAATCCGCATACTAGTTTGCCGACAAGGACATAAAAGAAAAGATTTTTCCAAATGAACTCAATGATGAAGGACACGAGTAAAGGAAATTCATAGTTGTTATTCATCAAAGTGAGAATAGTGAATGGCTGACCTATATCCCGTCGTGACATTACCGAGAATTGTGCAGTGTACTCTCTGATTAAAATATCAGAAATGTTGATTAAAATATTTCCAACAACATCCGTAATCCTTGGAGCATTGTGAGAGAACACTCAACCTGGATCTGCTTTGTATTTTTGATAATTGATTGTTAATAATGAGTGGTGAATAAAACTAGTCTTTCGTATTATTGATGTAGTGATACCACGGCGTTATTGATATCCAAACGAACGTGAAACAACTCTTCCGTCGTGTTTTATCGTGTGAGTAGACACAGGAGAAAATCCTAGTGTGGGGCAATGTTAAAGAAAAAGCAAAGAAAAGAAAGAAAAGGAAGTTATACAATATTGTATCTAATATAATGAAGTAACGCAAAAATACTATTAAACAGAACTATAACATGTCAATAATATGCATAAAAACAAATTTAGATGAAGCCGGCTTTTCCAATCTGACTACTCTGAGAAGAAATGCCGAAACAAACTCATATGTCTGTCTCTTTTTTCCTTCATAAAGGTGAATACTTATCAGAAAATCTTTAAAACACCATCCTTAACGAATCAAGTTAACCTAAACTAAGGGTCCGACTATGGTTATAACAATTATTTGCCCAGTATCTCATTAGAAAGTAAAATTACAGCAAACATAACCCAAGCTAAGGTCTCATAAGTAAACGGAATAGTTTTCCACAATGTTGGTCAGTTGGACCGGAATGCGGCAGATTGCCATCCACCGGATTGCCGGAATCGGCCGGAATGTGTCTGTCACTACGTTTATTGCGCGGTGTTCGACGGAGGAATGTTGGATTTTTAGGGGACATCCTTAAAGATTGGTGGTTGGAGCAACTACTCATTTGGATCGCCTTTTGTTTAGGGTTATGTGGAGTGTCGCATTGTTGTGTAACTAGGTCGGTTCTAAGTCTTAGTCATTATAATTGTGGCGTGGATAACATATTTGGTTTGATGCACTAACTCTTTACAGCTTTGTATAATATGATATTGTAGTAACAAAATATGTAATTCATAGCTTGAATTACTCGATTACTTGATTTTATTATTTAGTTATCATAATGCTGAATTAGATCAGACAACTTATTTGACAGTGCTAACCTATTTAAGATTGGATAGCAAGAAAAAAATAGGTACAAGAGAAATCATCAACTACCCTAAGAAAAAAAATCTGTATAAAAAGGCCACTCCAATCTTTTCACAGTTCTATACGGGTTCTGTGGAACAAGATCTCCAAGAATGCCAGAGTCACCGCGCTTATTGCTCGGTGACAATTGATGTTTGTAGTTTTGGGCCCGGGGGCCAGGAGATTGGAGCCCACCGCCCACCCTGTCTTTATTTTCGACTACATATTTAATCCGGACGCGTATCTGTTCAAGAGTTGACGTGCTGTCACACACGTTAACCGCCACGTAGGTCACCGGTGACCTACGGTAGCGGAGGATGTGCCTTCAATAGTTATCGGTCGGCAGTCAACGGCTTAATATAGTGCGAAAATGTTCATCAACAAACAATTGTATTGTATTGTGACATGTAAGAAAAAATAATCAAAGCTAAAACCGAGTCTTTCTTCTGTTTTAAAGTATCTTACAAAAACTATACATTTCCAAAAAGAAGCAAGGAAAGAAGTATGGAAGAATATCTCTTGCATTGCCGTTTTGGTGTGGTTAACGCAAATAAAATCACCCAGATACGTTATAAGTGCCAACGTAAGCGCGGGTCTGAGACCAGAACGAGATCCGAGCGTACGGCGCGTAGCGTTCCGGGCAAAGGACCAGGCCCCAGCGTAAGGCAAGTAGCGTGCCGCGCGAAGAGCTAATAGGCCATCAAATTTTGGTTGTGAGCAAGCGCAAAATATTGTAACGCGGCCTCGACCTGGAGAAGGAGAAGAAACGGGACGGTTTTTAGTCATTAAGAATCTGAAAATGGCCTCATCCAAGAATAAAAAAAAATTCACGTAGTTAATATGAGATAATCTTAATCCCAAAAACCGATCATTCATAACAGATACGCTAATATTTTCTTAAAAACAGGTCCAAATGTGAACAGTAAATATTTGTTTAATAAGTGGCTGGCATGATGTGGAGTGGGTCTCGAGTGCACTTGTATCAAGTAGACCCCGTTGACAACAAGTGATCTAATTGTTAAGTACTGCCGCTGTTTAGGGTTAGGGTTTGAGTCAAGCGTGATACATATAAAATGTATATCATATAAGGGTTGGTTAGAAACAACAGGATCGCTTAAAGGGTCGAAATTTTGGTTTCTCTTTGGTTTGAGACAATAGAACAGTAAAAAAAGGGACAAAAGTATGCTTTTTCTAAGAGCTTGTAACTTTGACTATTTTCAGATAAGATATTTTTAAAAAGTCAACGTTTAGTTATCCGTCATTCTCTCTGTTACTGAAGCTTCGTATCGAGAAGATGCTCTACTGCCAGATTCTGATTAGGAGCCACAAGACGATTACTGTAGACCACAAGTCTCTCCCAAAGAAGTCCAGATCGGCCGTTAAATTTTCCCTACTCCTATTCTCAAACATCAAATCCCCTATCCTTATCAATACCTAAATGTATCCCACCAAAGGACAGTAACGCATTTGTAGTAACTCCTTTAGTATTACAAGTGTATATAGCTGGTCCGATTACTTACCATCAGTTTATCCATCTGATCGTTTGCCCACTATGAAATAATTTAATACCGTCTTTAAAAAACCATCAATGTCTCAATAACACCCACTAAGTATTAATATTGAACCACTATAATCCTACCATCAAATCCAATAGAAGAAATATGACATAAATAAATTGGTAGTTGAATGCAATAAACAATTGGAAGGGTTGGGCATCGTTCAGTCGGATTAACGCGTAATATGAGTGCTTTTAGTACCGACGATATATTGTAGTTGATTGGAACTATTCGCTACTTCTAGTCGATCGTCCCTGTAAATGTCTTACTGTTTTTATTGACGTCTTTTAGTGTCATCGATATGGAATTGTTTTATTCGTTTTGAATGTCTATGTTTTACTCCCTTATCTACGTTTTTATTAAGAACTAAGTAACGTGTGTTGTGGTAAATATTAAACCTGTTTTTTTATTCTGTTTTTTTTTTAGTTGGTACAGGCCAATGACGATGTAACTAACACGATATAATCACTGGTTGTATCCTCTATGGTACAAGCCCACCACTGAATTCACTGAAGCTTCTGTAAGTCAGTCATCTACAGTCAATACGATCATGAAAAAATTAAATGTCTCGTATTCCGTAACGAAATAAATCAGAAGATATTATTGGAGGGAAAAAACGAAATTGTTTCCTTACTCAGTAAATTTAATGTAGGAGACAGAATGACTTTACTCTTAGAAGCAGAAAGAGACTGCACAACTGGAAGAAGCTCAGTCACCAAACACCACAGCAAATTTACTACAAACTAAATGGATTCTACGTATGTGTTAGCTGTTAAATATTTATAAATATAACAATATGTATAATGGCAATTACTTTCTTTGGAATGGCAAACTTAGGCGTTAAGTCTACGCAAGAAACTAAAACTTATTTTATACTCATTTGTATAAAAATCCCAAAAGATTAGCGATCGACATTTGTGGACTTCAAAATAAAGACTTATCAATATTATTATCTCTCAGTGAACATTTTCCCTATGAAGCAATCTATGCCAAATAATTTTAAATTTGGAAGTCGCCATTACAATTTTTTTTATTCCATATCGTATCTTCATCGTAT